AGGAGTCAATTAACTTAAGTTCTTGTTCACTAGGATGTCTGAAGTGTGTTGACTCAGAGATGGTGAAGTTTTATTAGAGAGCTGTGTATGAAAAATGTATAGACTATATTATTCACATACAAATGTTAGATTCTCATGTGTATATAAGTATTTTTTTCCCCTAGGTACTTCAAGATCACCTTCTGAAAGAAACATCTGATACACTCAGTGACCCCCAGTATGTTAGCCTCCTTTTATGTATATGGTTTAAGTCTTGGTCTATATTGGGTTCTCTGTACCTGGAGGTAATGGATTTAGTTTTGTTTCAAGAGACAGAATAGTTATTTGAGACCAGATCCCAGCAACTTTCTTTGGGACTAAAGTATAAATGCTTTTGAAAGTGTTAACAGTTGTCTCCTTGTTTCACCTCTTTTAGGAGAAGCCTTTTTTAATAACTGGAAGATGAGATTACTTGAAACTCTCTTTTTCTGACACTTTATAATGTAACTTTGTAGTGTTAGAACCTATGGAAGGTTTACATATTTACATTGCTGGTATCTGAAATGGAAAGAACACCACAGTAAAACTAAAGACAGTTTAATCTAGACAGTTTAGAAGAGCTTGTGAAGCCTATTGCTTTATTTATGGTTCACTTTAATTTGTTTTGCTTTGTTCTATTTTCTGAGAACTGTACCAGAGGAAGAAAGGGAAGCCAAATTTTTCCGGATTCTGACCTGTTCCTTGTTAGCTTTAAAAAAGTTGCTTAGCATGTTACCAAAGAAAGAGATTCATTCATTGGAGGAAAAGTTAATGTCACTTCTGTCCCAAAACAAATTTTGGAAATACAGCAAACACAGCATACCACAGGTGACTTTTTAGTTTCTTCTTTATTTTGTTTGGTTTTAGTTAAAGATAATACACTGAACCTCAGCAAGTATTAACTACTTGTACTTTACAAGAATGAATTATGTTTGAAACAGCCTTCAGATTTCTAGGCCTTAAATAGACAATACTGCTCTAAAATTTGCCCAATAGGCTAATTTGTTATTTCCGAGTCACTATCATCTATTACTTGGCAATCTGCCATCATTTCAAATTCATGTAAAAGATACAAACTGTGTTAGCTTACTGGGTGTGTTCTTAGTGTTTTTAGATTTTCATTTTTTTAAACCATTTTATTAGTCTTTGGTCTGCTAAGATCAATAGTGCATAGAGTGATGAGTTGATTCCAGTAGTATTTTGTTAAAAAGTTTTAAGATGATTTTGAGAAAACACGCCTTTTGAGAAGTATATTAAAATGAGGAAAAACTTCTTTACTGTGAGGGTGTCAGAGCACTGGAATAAGCTGCCCAGAGGGGTTGTGGAGCCTCCATCTCTGGTGATGTTCAGAACCCACCTGGATGCTTTCCTGTGCAACCTGCTTTGGCAGGGGGGTTGGACTAGATGATCTCCTGAGGTCTCTTCCAACCCTTACGATTCTGTGATAAAAATTTTTATAAGCATTTTATTGCTAAACAAGTTACTTTAAAATATTAAATGAGCTTATCAAATAATTTATTTATTTTTAATAATATTTAAACCTTTGCTAATGTGATAAAATATGGGGACCATGTGTTTTAAGTTATGGTGACTTTAAAAGGAATGTTATAAACTACATGTAGTGACGAAGTGCTGTCATTTGACCAAGTCTTGTTTTTTCTGTGGTCTGTCTCAGGTTCGCTCAGCTTTCTTTGAGCTGGCTTCTGCTTTTTGCCAGTACTTGACTGAGCTGGTAAAAGCTGAAGCACCAAGAGTTTGTCCTGCTGTTCTTCTCAGCATTGATGACAGTGATGCAGTGGTGTGTCCTGCTCTTTGGGAAGCTGTACTTCATACTGTTGCCACTATTGAGGTAATGTGGGAAACCTGAGGGGCAGATATTTTACTAAAATTTAACTTTTCACCAAATGCCATTGTCTGTGTAGAATTAGGAAGAACAGCTTGACTGGGTTTTCTTTATGATCAATAATGTGAACTTATCACTGCTACATGCTCCTTCTTCTTCCTTAGGGTTTCAGTTTAACTTTCAAATATATTGTGTCCAGCATGTCTGAAAATCAGAGTTGTTTTATAAGTTTAATTAAATTAACCTGAATCTCTTTGATTAAAAATAGTTACTAATAAGTAAAATAATACTTAAAACCTTTTTCTTGGTTAAACATGGTTACAAAAATTCCCTGCAGTGCATTTTTGGTTTGTTTCTCCTTCTAATTTAATGCTTGATTCTATGTGCTGCATTGAAGGGCAGAGAGATTTAGCAGAAAATAAACCCCCTTGTGTTCCAGCTTATCCTCAGATATCAGAGAGGCTGGGGGTAGCTGGGCTTACATTCCAAGTGATGCCCAATTTGGCACTATCAGTCCAGTCGTGTTCAATGTCTTGAACTACCACAGCTCTGGATGCACTAATAGTGCAGCACTACAGTCCAGTAGTGTTCAAATGAACTAGCACAGCTACTTGGTCATGTTCAATGAGAACTCTTACAGCTGGATACACGGCAGTGCAATGCACCTCCAATCTAGTCACGTTTAAAGGAACTTACATGACCACGCTTGGTTGTGTTCAATGGGGACTGTCACGACTGGATAAATGAATGGTGCAGTTTATTGAAGTAACAGAGTACAGGTTCTTTTGGATTGCCAGGGATAAATATACTGTCTGCAAAGGTAAATACAGGTATGTAAGAACATAGATTTATAAACTGTTAAGAAAAACAAAGTGTAGGTACTTAAGAACATAATTCTACAAATGGTTTAAGTTAAGAAGAAAGAAAAACAACTCCATAGAGATTGTCTAAATTTCTTGGGGAAGGTTCGAATCTCACCCAATAAGCGTCCCTGTGTGGGGAAGAGAGGCTGAGCCTGTTGACTGGTCCCAGAAGCTGGCGATGGTTCATGATGGTGTCTTCCCAACTTGTCTGCAATGGTATCTTCCCTAACATCCCTCGTCTCCTAGGCCATTTTTATTCTATTTTCTTACTTTCGGGTGGAGCTTGAGTGACTCTAGACCTTTATTATAATGGGTGTAAAGTTTCCTCGCTTTGCTTTTAAAGGTATAGACTAGAGGAAATACAGAGCACATGCTCAGTGAAGGCTGGTTGCACCTTGGAAGTGAGTAGCTTTTGGAATGGAGGTGTACTTTAGCATTATAATGACAT